CAGTATTACACCCTACCTGAGTAGGCAAGACATGGATTTCCTCTACATCACTGGTTGCCACCCTCTTAGATAGGCTGGATTTCAACTTCCCTTTTTGCTTGAATTGTTTCCAGAGCCTCAACAGATCAAACGCTGGGCCATCAATAATGTCTGATCTCTGTATACCGCTCAGCAGAAGATCTGCTGTGCATTATTGTTCAGTAGCTTGTCCTGCATGATATGCTTACTCAGTTGAACCAGTTGGAAGAGCATTACCCCTTGTAGTGGCACATTAAGTTAACTCTCTTCTCTGTCTAGTTGTAACATTAAAGAAAAACCTCTCTCTCTCCTCTAGCACATCTCCAATTTCAATACCCTTATCTGAGTCTGACCTTGACCAGTGTGCTAATTCCTCCTAATCTCACCTGGTAACCAGGTACGTACTTCTACAGGAGCACTCCTTCCTGGTAGCCACCTACCTTTCTTTTTTGTTACTATCTCTTCCCAGTGTTTTTGGAAGATAAAAAACATTTTTTAAGACATTTAGTAAATCTTTTATTGGCTGCAGCTGAAGCTCAACTTCTTCTCTACTGTTTGTCAAACCCATAAATGCTTACAAAAAATATCCATCCTAATAAAATGCAGCCTTCCTCAGGCAAGAGAGACAGAGACAGCTCGGAGAGCGCTACAGTGCAGTGAGAGAGACAGCCCAGAGAGAGCACCACAGTGTGGCGAGAAAGACAGACAGTACGGTGAGAGCACTACAGTGCGGCAAGAGAGACAGCTTGGAGGGAGTGTAACAGTGTGGCAAGAGAGCCAGCCCAGCAAGAGCGTGACAGTGTGGCAAGAGAGAAAGACAGTCCGGGGAGAGTGATACAGTGCGACAAGAGAGGCAGCCAAGTGAGAGCATAACAGTGCGACAAGAGAGACAGCCCCCAGAGACAGACAGACAGATCAGAAAGAGAGGGAGAGAGAGAGACAGATCAGAGAAAACACACAAAAGAGAGTGATAGAGAGAACATGTGGAGGAAACCGTTCCTCCAAAGCATAGGCAGAGCCATGTGGAGAGATCTTCTGATGACTCACAGGGAGGAGTTCTCCAGCTGTCTGCTCTGTCACAAATGCTGCTGATAGTCTCCTCAGACCTGGGTACGCAGGATATCTGACACTTGCATGTGCTAGTTCATGAGAAGGGGGCGGGGTCAGCACAGTCAGATCAGCCCAGCAGAGAAGAGGAATTAAAAGGCATGTTCAGTTCGCTGCAGCAGCTTCACTGAGCACTTCGGCTGAACAGTGCTAAGCAAAATGGCAGAGGATAATATTTTTGACTAATAAATGCCATTGTCCAACGAATATTTGGTGTGCATCCACCAAAACATTAAAATGTAGGTTCCCACACTGAATTTCTCCTTCGAAGTTCAGGCACCTTTCTCCAGCACTGACAGGTGTGCCCACAGTTATAATGGCCGCAGGTGCTCTGTTCCTACCTCCTCCGTCACACTCAGCGCTCTGCATCCACATTCACTTGCGCTAAGTTAGCAGTGCTGAGTGCTGACTTGCAGCACAGCATTCAGCGGCAGTTTGCTAACTCAGCACTCGCAGCAGCTGAGCAACTGAACACTCCTCAATTGTTTAAATTTAGCAGATAACAACCAAACCATCAGAGTTGAACTGAAGTTCCTGTGGAGGGAATTTTGAATTTATAGGACTCTGGCCTATTAAAGCCTATTAAAAAAGTATAAAATTCAGCACTGTGACTCGTGACAATGCACACACATACATCGCCCCTGCACCGCTACATTAACATAATAAATACAAATCACTTTTTGATTTAAGTAAATGTGGACAGAAAATCCCTTAAAACACATGTTGGTGAGTGTACTCCATGAAGTTCTATCTTTGAAGCTAAATCTTCCTTTATATATAATTATTATTTTATTTTATTTTATTTTTTTGAGGTTTTTTTTTTTTACAGTGTGTTGTAAAAGGTACTGTTGCATGCATTAGCCTATGAACATTCATAGAATATAAATGGAAAAACATAATTATACCAATAACAATTACCAATACAATACAGAATAATAAAAAAAAATATTCTGTAATAAAAAAGTCCTAGTTTATCAAGTTTTTTTTAAAGGCACACAACATAGTAAACCAGAGGGGGGCTTTCATTTCAGCTTAAAGGTCACATGCCATGAGCAATAATAAATACATTTCTTCTGCATCTATTGTGTGCTTCAACCTTTTCATCCTGTCATTTAGACAGTAAAATACCTAACTCCTACACACAGATGATAAGGCCATTAAAATGTGTGTGATTGAAGCAGATATTTTCCAAGAACCAAAGTGAACAGACTTGTCTTTTCTGGGACTCACTGACTGAAAACAGGCAAGGGGAAAACGAATATGGCTTATTTAAAATGACAATCCAAAGCACAATGATGATATGCAAACTACAAAAATCTGTAACAACCAAAGTTATTTTAATTCAGTATATCAATAGTTAAGACCAATAGAAAAACGTTGTTAGAAATACTCGCAAATTATTACAGATATGCAAGTAATTTAACTGGGCTGTGCCTGGAAGTGTCTATCGCCCAAAAACAAAACAAAAAAAACACAAAACCCTGGCACCTTAGATTTTAGGGCTAGTCTCACCATGTCTAGAGCATGTGGACCACTTATCATGCTGATATCTGCCCATAGGGCTTATGAATACGGCATGGGAGCTTTAAAAGTATGGCCTTGTTTAAAAAGTCAAGCCATCTTTACAAACTAGTCTGGTAATTACAGGTTTTGGTTCTTTAGTAAAACCAATACCCCAGAGGTGGTCAGGGTAACAGGAGAGGTATAAGCCCAGTTATGGCTAACCTTACTTCCTGCAAACTGGCAATGGAGGTCTTTGGACCCCTTGCATAATCAACCTACCCAATACAGAGTGCTTAACCTCAACTTTAGGCAAACAGGTAAATACAAACACTTGAAAAGCATATACTATATATGAATAGTATGTGAACTGTATTACTTGCCAAATGAATTGTAATTTAATTTAGTCAGTCAGTGTTGTGACTTCATTTTTGTCAAATGTAATGAAGAAATACAGCTTGGTCAACTTTAAAGAAAACACACACCTACTTAAAAATATATTGTTCTAAAATAAATCTAAAATGTCTTCTGTTATATCTGTTCATCACTAGGTCATACCCCTACAAGTGATAAGGTTTGGAGAGTAAATGCTCCCCATGTCCAAAGACATCTCAGTAGAGACTTACTGATCTAAAATCTCGATGAAGCTGCTGCTAATGCCAGGTTCAAGTCAATGGGGTTGATTTACTAAAGGCAAATAGAGTGTTCACTTTGCAAATAACACCCAATCATGTGCAAGGTAAATATAAAATACAGTATTTTGCTTGTACATGATTGCATGATGGAAGTCAGCAGTGCGTTACTTCAGTCACTGAGCCACAGGGAAAATTACCTTGCAAAATTAACAGCCTATTTGCCTTTAGTAAGAAAACCTATGTGTGTCTGTTTTCTCTGTCACTGGATACTGAAGTGGTCAAGGTGCAATTCGTTTCAGTACATGCTAGCCAATAGTTGCTGAAGTTACTGTACATTGTGAAAAAAACTAGCACTGTTAACCTTAAGAGCGTATAAACCTAATCATTAAAATCTCATGTAAGTTATCAGAACCTGTTATAAAAGACCTGATTGACACAATTCCTATTACATTGTGACATTACTATACCTCTGTCTTCCATCTTTGCTTCTACATTGTAACCCTGCCACACGGGCTTCAGATGCAGACTACAAGTGGCTGTATTAACACACATTACACAGACATGGTCCTCTGTTGTCACCATCAGGAACCTGCCCTAAGAAATACCTTGCAGCTATCTCTGGAGTACAAGCATGTAAACAGAAAGTGGCTGCAAAGAGGCTAAAGGTCTGAGATGCAACAAGGGATAAAGAAAAGCGAAACTAAGTGTTTTATTTCTAGAAAAAGGCAATTGTTTATGAGTTACTACTCTGCAGCAAAATTAAAGTGACATTAACCTCAGGAGTTACATCTTAAAAATTAATTCAAATACCTTAACTATTAACAAAAATGTAACTTATTTGTATATCACTCGGCTGTAGATCCTCAAATCTTCTCTGAATTTGTGCTGACCTTGTCCTTCCTTCTGAAGGGTGACTACTTTTGTTCCCCATGGTTCCTGTGTGTGTTGTGAAGCAGCCACCGCTCCAAGCTTCCTCCTGTGATGGTCTACAATCTCAATACAAACTTGGAAACTAGACATAAGATTGTAGTCACAGGAGCAAGCTTGGAGTGGTGGCTACTTTACAACACACACAGGGACCATGTAGAACAAAAGTAGCCACCCTCCAGAAGGAAGGACAGTGTCTGCACTCTACAGCTGAGTGATACACAAATAAGATACATTTTTGTTAAAGCTAGGGTACTTGAATGTATTTTAAGGTTTAACTCCATGCTAAATTATATAGGAGAGATGTAAGGTGAATAATAGCATAACAGATTTGAAATGTAATTATGAAATGTATGATATGGAAAATAATAATAAAGAAATGTTACACAAAACTCCTGAGTTTAGTATCACTTTACGTTATTTCATTTAGGATTTCTATGCACTTTAATCCACTGAGCTGACAACAGTGGTGTTCCCCTTTTAATTATTGTAAGGGAAAGGGTTAATAGGAAGTGTAACAATACAAAGGATTACTGAATTTATTACTTTGGCTGCATATATTTTTAATTTGTTCCTCTACATTTTGTCATGAATTTTACACTTATAGATGCACATTCCTACATAGATCTACAGTAGGATACCAGTGTGATCACTTTTACATGATAATATCTCTGAATCAGTCAGAAAGTAAGTATTTTGTTTTACATGTTTATCTGAAAATATAATTCATAACTATTGTCACTAATTGTCAGCAATTTAAACAAACTATAGTTTCAAAGAACATGACAGAACATTTTTTTTTTCATACTTTACCTTCACTATCTGGAAAAACGTCTTTCGGTCCTGACTGTTGACAAGCCTGTCACAGAACACTCTGTAGACCTCATGAATCCAAAGTCTCATTAATTTCTGTGCTGCTGCAGAGTTCTGGTCTACTTGAGTGGGTTTCAAGAGTATAATTCCCTGAGAAGAGCAAGTGAAATGAAGTGACATTAGCGTATTAGCAAATTATTGACGAAATCCGTAAACAATCTAGTACAATTTATAATACACATAGATAAAAATAGTTTGAGGTATCTTTTACCTATTAGGTATCTATCAAACATGCACCTTCAGATTATGTTTAACCCTTTAAATTCCAGACACCTTGCCTAGATTCTTCAAGGATATTTCTCCTCTGGTGGCATTCCACTCAGATAGAATATATGTAATGCTGTTTCTCACTTTAAAGTAGTATCACACTCTCAAAAAATGTTTCAATAACGAATCCAGATCAAATATATATACATTGCTCAGCAAAGCATTGCTTTACTTTTTTGCCCAAATACTTAATGTACAATCATCATGTTTCTGAATAGCTGCTTCCAAGTCTCTGAGCACAGCTTCCCTTAACTTCCTGTCCAGTACAAGTTCACAAGAGACAGGGCAGACTCCAGCAACTGTTCATCTACTAACTTGGAGAAGGAAAGTGAGGGGGCCAGGGGGGAGGGGGAGTAGCTTGATTTTCTGTGTCCATATGTTTGTGGAGACCCACACAGCTTACTAGATCACACAAGAGTGACTGCATAGCTCTCTGCTTGAGAAAGGAGTCACTCTAAAACAGTAACTCAGGACCAATGCTCAGGGGACCAGCTGATTCTGCAGGAAACTAAAACTTTTAAACATCGAGAAGCATCCATCATAAGTAAATTCATCAGCATTTGAAATAGCTTAAAATTCTTTTGACTTTAATATCACTTTAAGCTGCACAGGTTGAAGTCTGCTCGTGGAACTGACAATCTTGATCTCTTCCCTCACACACTCAACCTTTTGTATATTTTCAGGTTCTTTTTCTAACATAGAATTTAATATTCATCTTTATTTATGTGAACTTTTTCAGGACATTATGGAAAATTAGATCATATCATTTTTTTTTATTATATTAAATTATATTCACAGTCAACTACACTTAGGAGCTGTAAAGGCCATTTTCTCTGTGTAAGCCAAATAAAACCTTAACCCTTGCAATGGAGCTACCCTTGCTCTGCAAGGGTTAGGTGCTCATTTTGCCTAGGAAGCTAAAATAACAGAGATAGACTTACCCTAACCGAGATCTCAACTGGCTCCAAGACTGGTCCCTTCAGTCTCTCTCTTCCACTCCAGTAATGGCTTGTCTCTCAGTGTCCTCATGTCCTATGTACTGTATAGGATGTGATAACTCACAGGAGCTTAGACCACTGGATCGGAGGGGGGTTTAAGGTTTTATTTGCCTGGAATTCTTCTTTAACTGCTTCAGGACTGCCACAGGCATTTTTTGTGGATAAATGGTGGCATCCTGAAGCAGTTTTACCAAGATCACTACTGCAGCAGCTGTAAACAACTGGTGAAGGCTGTTCACATACAAGTGATCCATCGCCTATACAGCCCCCTGATTGCTTGTACGGTACCACGGAGTGTGCTCTCCTCTGCTGCCGCTGCTGGCTACCCCAGGCTCTGCACTGAATTCAAAACGCCTATGTGTGAATGGAGACTACTGAGAGGTAAAAAGCTTTTAAAGCATTGCCTATGGGATATTTTGGGTGATGTAGGTTTTTGCAATTTCACAGGCGCACACAATTTTAAGGCGTGACATGTTTGGCATCTATTTACTCAGCATGACCCCATCTTTTATATACCATGCAACATAAAAAATTGCAACTTTTTTTTATTCTACAGGCCCTCTGCTTTCAGAAAATATATAATTGTTGGGGAGTTTTTAGCTGTTTTCTAGCCACAAATTCAGATTTTATCATGAGTGTGCAAATATTAAGACAGCAAGTAGTTAACATTGTGTGCTTCCCCTCCTAATATAATGATGTAAAGTAAGAAATACATTAAAGCAAAAAGCATCACCTGATGCAGGCAACGTGGAACTCCACTGCAATACCAATTAAATATAGGTGCGTGATTGGCCAAAATTGCTAAAAGTAAATAACAAATAACATTAAATGTTTGTATTTTAGTTTAGAGATTTGGTGCCTTTTGTTACCTGTACGACTCGGGAGAAATCCCTTAAACTGAATATATAATGTGATTTTGAAGGCATGGGCAGAAAGGAAGCCATAACTTGTCTGTAGAGATCCATTGTGGCCCACACAAATATCTGGGAAATACATTAAAAGAATAAAACAATGACTAGCTTTGCTTTCCAAAGAAGTACATCTGTCAATATAAAACCAGTTGAAAATGTGTCATTTCACAGATGGGCAATAAACAAAAGCAGAGGATCACAGTCTATTAAATAGATGATGCCATAGAATCACGTATTTCAGCTTTAACTAAATCAATTTTCCATTTAGAAGGTTAAGTGTACCTTTTTTATTTTCATAAAAAAAAAACAGCTTTAAAAATATGATTTCTATAGGCTAAATATAAACACAACTGCTGCCTTAATGTGTGGTGTCCTTGGCTCGCCAAGGAGAGTGAGAGAAATTTCAAAAGGAAGTCTCCAGCAGCTTTTAATGTTTGCCCTTTGATCATGCGCCTTTTACAGTCCCTGCAAAGTACCAATTTGACCAGCTTTCTGTTGATATTTGATGACCTAGATGCAAAAAGTATAATATACAGCAAATGATAAAAAGAAACAACAATCTACCTACATAGTGATTTCCTTTAAGCACCAGGTTTTGTATGAGCATTTTAGTCACTCGCATCTGTTTTATTTTCAGCTGAGGTAACCTCAAGGTAATTGTATTCTGCTGGATACTAAAATGCGGAGGCATTAGATTGCCTCTGTCACCGGCACTGTATTGTACTTCGGCTTAACTAAACAAAACCAAGCCCAGATTCACGCCTGAATATGTAAAAAGAATAGCTATAGTTTACATTATCTCAAAGAGGCATTTTAATAAGCCCATTCTGTTTATATTCTGACTATGCGCAGAGCTCCACAAGCGTCTCTGCACACAGAAAACAAAACAAAATGCTTCTTACAACACAGGCAATAAAAAGTACTAGACTATCAATACAAAGAGTTCATGCAGTTTGTTGAAAAGAAACATTTGGTATGTCAAGAGATAGAAACTTAGCCCATAGACTTTTGAATATACTATGAACAACTGGGCAACATATCTACTTTCTAGCACACATCCAGGCTTATCTAATAAGGAGGTATATGTTGTTATAAGGAGTTATATGTTGGTTGCTTTTGATTAATGACCTTTGTAAATCATAATTGCTACTTGCAGGTCTTTATTTAAAAACAAGTCTAGATTGAGGTTATAATCTTCATTACTGGGTTATTTAGCATTAGCAGTGAATGTAGCCAAGCAATCTGCACTGGGTGCAATAAAAATGAAAAAAACTTCATAAAACATTTTCAGGCTCGGCTCTCCCATTGAATTTATCCTACCCTCTAGTTATCACACCAATCAGATGACACCCCCCCCCTTTACCCACTTTCACACCTTCCTGTAGTATATCCCCTTTACCCCCTCCAGCTCTTCTACATTGTCCTTCACCCTGCCAGTAATCCTATTGCTGTAATACTTACCCTTAAACCTGGTCCTCCTTTTCCTTCTACTTTTCTACTTTTTTTCCTTTCGTGTGACATATGACCTTAGTTGTTTACCCTCATGTGGCATTCATTAGCAGAAAGCCATTGCAATATTTTGCATTTTCTAGTTGCTCCAAGACATGCTCTTAATGCATTCATCTAACACATAATATACAATTTGAACTTTTCTATATGAATACCATGCTATGCCCACTCTTCGACCTCCCATAATGTCTGAGGTTTGATGAGTTTAGTGGTAACATCCAGTACGATTTAGTCATGTCTACTCCAATTGTATTTTTTGCTCTCCTCCTTTTTTTTCTTTGTTCTACTTTGCACCAATGTATGAAAATTCAGTAACATTATACTCCTCAATAAATTTTAAAAATCCACCCGTAAATTCTGCCTTAGGATCTACTGTACACTGAGTGGCCAGATTATTATGACCACATGACGTTTGTAGGCAAATTAGCTATAATTTCGCGCTGAAGTTGCTAGAGGGCCAGACCATTATAAATAGGGAAGCAGGTTGTTTACCACGACAGTAGAAGTGATTTTTTTCTGAAGATATGGGTAAACAACGCGATTTAACAGCCTTTGAACGTGGGATGATTGTTGGCGCTTGGATCCATGGAGCGAGTATCAGCAAAACAGCAGAATTCGTTAAATGTTCAAGAGCAGCTGGTGGTAAAGTGTTTAAAGACTGGACTGTCAGCCAAACATCTGGGTCTGAACGTGCGAATTGTGGCCGTCTGCGACTAGTCAATGTTAGGGCAGAACGGAGAGTGGCAAGACTGGTACAAGACAACAGAAGGGCAACAGTGCATCAAATTACTGCAGATCTTAATCAGGGATCCTCTCAAATGATCACTGAACGCACTGTTCGCCGTACACTGCATCGTATGGGATATGGAAGCCGAAGGCCTGTTCGAACACCTTTGCTTTCTGCAGTTAACAAGATAAAACGTCTCCAATTAGCACAGGAACACAAGGATTGGACAGTCGAGCATTGGAAAAAAGTCATGTGATCCAATGAATCACGTTTCCAGTTGCATCATGCAGATGGCAGAGTGAGAATTTGGCAGAAACCGCATGAAAGCATGCACCCCACATGCATGAGTACAACCCTTCACGCTGGTGGGGGCACTGTTATGGTTTGGGGCATGTTTTCCTGGCATGATTTGGGCCCTTCAAGTCATGTGGAGCAACGTCTGAATAGCACAACATACCAAAGTATCGTTTCTGATCAAGTTCATCCTATCATGTTGATGGCGTATCCCGATGGAGGTGTCTTCTTCCAACAAGACAATGCACCATTCTTGTATTGTGCAGGAGCGGTTTCAAGAACATGAGGGAGACTTTACCTTGCTTAGGTGGCCCCCACAATCACCAGATCTCAATCCAATTGAGCATTTGTGGGACGAAGTTGAAAGAGCCATGAGGCAGCTGGTTCCACAACCATCAAATCTCACAGAACTAGACAGTGCTATTCATCAGACATGGTGTCAGATTCCTCGCATCACCTTTCAACATCTCGTGGAGTCAATGCCAAGAAGAATCGCCGCAGGATTGAATGCAAAAGGTGGCCTAACGAAGTACTGATGGGGTGGTCATAATAATCTGGCCACTCAGTGTATATGATCCCATTATCTTTATAGAACGTTACATAAATAAACTAGGGACTATTGTGCACATATGACACATATATTCATTTTCCCATAAGGGATCTTTACACCCTAGGGTGCAATAACCACAAGCCATGACCCGCATTATAACACACATTAAGCAATGCACAGTAGCACACTGCCGTGTGGTGCAGATTTGCCTTGTGGTGCATTACAAAGCAAAGTTAATTGCACCACAATATAAAGTGCAATGCACCAGGGCTATAGTGCACAACAACACACAGATAAATGAACGCAAATGCAGAAATATGCACGAACGTGCTGACGTTGAAAACTTTGCTCGCAATCATCAGCGTGATGAGCGCACACATGCCTGCTCATTGGCGTCACATAGATTATAAAATTAGTGTGAGTACTGAACCCATTGCTGACTGGTCTTCAGCTGTTACCCGTGTTCCTTTTGCCCGTTCCTGTGATTCTACTGACCTGTGTTTGACTCTGGCTTACGTTCAAGACCTCTCTCCTGACTTCTGATTTGGCACGTTGAACTTGGCATCAGTCTCTCCTGTGTTTGACCTCAGTTTGTGACTTTTTTGCATGGCATCTACCAAGTTAGCACTACTTTTCCATACATGACCCCAACTAAGATCCTGATCTTCCAGTCGCTCCATTCAAGCTCTGCTTCCTTGACACTGTACTCCCCGAGCCAATTCCAGCTAAAGCCTTGCTAGACTGCTCTGTCTGCTGCCAGTTCTGGCCATCACCTCCAGGTCATCACAATCAAGCTCCGGTACCTAATCTGCAGAAGCCACTGCATCAGTGCTTCCGTGTGCCTGCACTCCTGTCTCCACCTCTAGAGGAGTCAGACAAGGGGTGCAAGAATAGCCACCTGTTCAGCTTGGCCACCTTCCAGGTACATAAGAGGTACCTTTTGTACATACTATTAGCTATTGACCTTTACAGAGGTAGGGGGCCAGGACATTATAAGTGCACCTTTAAGCCATAATAATTATTTTTTTTAGAATAAACTGGCATTGAACCATCCTACACTTGACATACAGTACATCTTTTGAGAGAGTGTCCTGTAACTAGTCAGTGCAGCTTTCTTCCAACTGACCACCTCATTAGTTTAAATATATACTAACAAAAGAAGTCTTATGTTGCCGTATATGCTGGCTTATTCAACAGGACAGTGAGAAGAGCAGTAACCCATAGCAGCCAGTCAACATTTTATTTATACTTAGGGAAAGTGAAGGTTAATTTCTCAGTGGCTACTATGAGTTATTGCACTTTTGTGCAATGAGTGTTACACTACAAAATTAGCCTATTGATATGTTTAGTTCCTTTAAAATAATTTTCTTTGCCAGCAAAAATCTCTTTTGTCTCTCTTTTGTTTAAATCACTGTGAAATTTGCCAGATTGAGCAATGCATTTAGATAAAAGCACCAGCTAGGAGCTAGGCATAGCCTTTTCATGGTAAAAGTCACATTGTGAAAATTAGACTTGTGGTTTGCTTGTCAGCTAATAAACAATACTCTAAATGCCTCTTTGCAATGTGACACTTAGATCTAAAACTGCATATTTTTAAAAGCTGGATTCATCAAAAATTTAAAATTCTATGCAGCAAACAGTCATTCTGGATGCCTTTCAAATAATAAACACAGCAGCCAAGAAATTAACAATATTGTTAAAAACAATGCTATAAAAACTAGTTAAAAATGACAATTAGATGTTGGCACTTAATTATTAAGCAATGCTAGCTTTGCCTAAATAATTGTTTATTGTACTTTTTTCCCTTTTATTTTGTGTGTATAAATGCAAATGACAAACCATGACATTTCATACTCTATAGGCAGACATAAAATAGAATATTTGTGGTTTGGGTATACAACATGGATACTTGGGTCAATTCCAACATTATGGTCAATAAGTTTGGAAAACTAAATGTGTGGGTTGATCTTCCTTAATACTGTGAAGCTCAGT